CCTGAAGCATGACCCAGTTGCTGTTGAAAATGAGTTTTCTGCTATGAACATTTGGAGCTTTAGAAATTTTATCTTCGTTTTCTCACATCCACTTTAAAGTTTCTGCAACTTGGTAGAATTAAAGAAGACAAAATACAAACTATTTGTACCATTTTCTCATCTAATTTTTCCTCAATTTTTTTTTTTTTTATGAAGAGAGGAGAATATGCCTAATGAAGGCTATAGAAAAACAATATCAAGGATATCTTTAAACTCACCATCCAATCAAGGCTAGAACTAGAACATTACCAGGCGTTATTATTTATTTTGAGGCTCTTCTTTTAAAGACACCATTGATGGAACTCACTGTTCCTTATTTGTTTTACCCTGAACCACCCAATTCCCCTGATCATGCCCAAAGGTTTTGTAAGTCTTTGTTCTTAGCATTCACTGATTATAAAGCCTCCCCGAAAGCCCTGTTGGAGCAATTTCTAAAGACCATAATTATTCTCATTACTGTGGAGGGTGCCAAACAGGTGTAAGATATGACTTCTATCTTCAGAGAGCTTATTCTATAGGGAAAAGAGAGCTAACACACATAAAACTATTAGAGGAAAACTGAATACTAAGTACGTGATATTTCCTACAGAGGTTATGGGAATTCCAAGAAAAATGCTATCACTGTTGCCCAGGAAGTTTGGAAAAGTTTTATAAAAAAGGATAAAAAAAAGGATGCCATACCTAAATATGGGCATTTGGAGAGAAGGATAAAGACATTTAGGATGGAAAGAAATGAGTTTGATGGTGATTAAACGCTAGTGTGTGTGTGTGTGTGTGTGTGTGTGTGTGTTGAAATGTCCTTTCCCCAATTCATAAGGCTCTCAAGGGGTTTCCAACAGGCACATTTTAAATTCAACTTTCCCACCCAAGGACTTGCTCCAAGCATAATGCCTCATGCCCTGGTAACTATGGTTAGTCCAACAATGTGACTTAAAGCAGGCTGAGATTTTACATGCAACAGCTGGAAGAGAACTTTTCTCTTTTCTGTTAGGTCACTGCTGATAAAATGTAAGCCTGAAGTTATCCCTGTCCACACTGTCTCTTCCCTCTGCTATATAGAGGAAGTTTATCTGCAGTTGGAAAAAGTAAGAAAAGGAGAGAGAGAGAGAGAGAGAGAGAGAGAGAGAGAGAGAGAGAGAACAAACTACAGTGTTTGAGTCTCTGAAGCCATCTGTACACCTGGATTTTCTATTTCTATTTCTGTGGCTAATGTATCCTTTTCTTGTTTAAGCACATTTGAACTGGTTTCAGTCTATTTTAACCTGGTAAAAGGGTCCTGAGCAAAGCAGGTAGCAGGCTGAGAGGTGAAGGGGGAAAGTAGGACCCAAATGGGACACACACAGTGAGAAAGAAGGCACCACAGATCAAAAGCAATATCTGGAAGAAGAAATGATAGGACTTAGTTAGAGACTGGATATATTAAATGCAGAAGAAAATAGTTAAGACTGAAAATTCAGGGGATTTGTGGAATCACTGACAGAAATGGTGGTAGTTGAGACGAGGAAGTGGGTTTGAAGGGAAACAATATCCAAACCATTGCATCTGAGTTCCTGGTAAAGTTGGGACTTTGTCAGTCTATGGTTTTAGTGAGATGACCCACACAGTAGGTATGACAGTGTGAAATGCAGAAAATAATCAAATTTTTCTTTTTGTCAGCATTCAATAGAATATGATAGAAAACTATAATTATGCTTTCCAAACTCATTGTTTCAATTAATTTTCCTTCTTTTACTCCCCATTTAAAGCCCAGAGAGAAACAGCATAGAACAGAAGTTCTAAAAATGTGGTTCCTAGTCAACAACGTCTGTATCACCTGGAAATATTTTAGAAATGCAAATTCATGGGCTCAACCCCAAAATGAGGAAATCAGAAACTCTAGAGGTACATTCAAAGATCTGTATTTTAGCAAGACCTATAGTCAACTGATGTCCATTAAGGTTTGAGAACTGCTGGTGTATTCTTTATATGTTGGTTCCACAGAAGGTGAGGTGATCCACCACTTAGTGCTATGATTTCCCACAGTAAGAATGATTCCCTTAGAAAAATTCATGCTCCCTAAATCTATTCATTCAAAAACTGCATTGAATGGGTGCTATCTTCCAGGCACTATGAATACAGCAGTGAACACACCGGACACAGTCAATTACAAAAATATCTATATGTTAGCAATTTAAAATTATGCTATGTAATCTACTCCCAGGCAACCTGAGTATTGGCTAGGACATCATGAAGGTGTCCCTAAAGAAATGACACTTAAATCAAGAAAGAATGACTAGGAGTTAGTCTGGTGAAGGGTAGAGGGAATAATGTGTAGGCATTCGAGGCTCCAAAAGTAACAGGCTTGGCCACTTTCAGGGAACTGAAGACTGACCAGCATAAACAGGTTCTTGTTAATAATGGATATTGAAGCTGAGAGGCAAATCTGATAGACAGATCATGCAGGAACTTATAAATCATATTAAAGATGGTGCACTTGCCACTGATGGCAATTAAGAGGTCGTTAAAAAGTTTCAAGCATGAGCTAACTTGATCTAATTCATGTTTTTCTAAATGTAAATTTTTCTATTAAAAAAGGCAAAGCTTTTCCCACTACACAACTGTGGGTATAATAGCATGATGATTTAAATTTGCTGTAAGTTATAAATGGCTAACAGAAACTTTTTCTAATTAAGGCTTTGATGGCGTGAGAAGGGGCATAGAGTATCCATGCGGGGTCTAAATGCTAGGAACAGAGAAGGAGGAAGGGCTCAGAAGCTTCTGCTTTGTGGTTGTGGCTCAGACTGGTCCTGCCCATGCATATCTGAAGCAGCAGGAGAGCAAATTCAAGGCAACTGCTGCTTCTCTCAGGGGTCATCTTTCTCCCCTTCACAGGAGACCCTGGTGCTCAGGCTGTGTCCATCTAGAGCAGCAGTTCTCAACCTCTGGGTCGTGACCCCTTTGGGGGTCAATGACCCTTTCACAGGGATTGCCTAAGCCCATCAGAAAACACATATTTCCTATGGTCTTAGGAACCGAAACACCACTTCTATATCCATCTCCAGGTGGGTCCGCCCACATGCAGATATGCCCACAGACAACATGAGGAACTGTATTAAAGGGTTGTGGCATTAGGAAGGTTGAGAACCATTGATCTAGGAGGGGCTTTATTGTTTTTAACATATAATCTCATTTAAAGATTTAATTCACTTTTCTGGTATCAGTCATTTCCCTGAGAATCTATATGTCCTCTCTGACCACAATTATATTTTCATTTGTAATATCTCTGGTGCTCTTGCCCTGTGCTAATACATCATGTTGACGATAATTGCAAATATGTTATCATTTAGTGTTGGTGCTTGAAAAAGCATACAGCCCTTTCTGCTTTCCTGCATTTCAGTGGCACGTCTCATATTGTTTGCTGGACAGTTGACCCTTGACTGTCACTGCAGTAATAAATGGCCTTCCTGTAACTGAACTTATCTTATCTTTCCCAAATCACCTTGCCCCTGACCTCTTCTGACTTTGTCAGTAACATCAGCATTTATTGTCTCCCAAGTTCCAAGTTTTGGAGTCATTATTGACTCCTTTGTCTTATGCTCTCCCCAGTTCCAAGCATTTAGATCATTCCTTTCATCACCCTGTAGCATCTTAGTCCTAGTTACGTCAAAGTAGGATACCTCCATTTCATCTCAACTCATTCTCCTATATCTAGGTTTCATTCCCAGGACACCCTCAGGACGCTGTGACTACTACTCTGTGTACGTTGTTCTTCATCAAGCCTATTTTATTTAGCAAAGGCTGTTCTGTATTTTCCTTTGCAGTAGAATCGTCTTTTCTTCTTAAAGGAACATTATTTAAAACCCCATTATATAAGAGAGATCATCATAAAACTCTGGTTGAAGATGGGCTAAAGTTAATGCCTTCAACTTTTGAGGCACCAAGAGGCTCATTGAGGCAGTTTGAAAACAAAGATACATAGAATAGACTTAAACTCCCTGGAAGGATATGCATGTTTTGTCCATAATGCCTCTTTAAAAAATATTTGGTGGTATCAATCTATGCAAACCTTTCAATCTAGTCACACAAATCCACAAAAAATCCTTAAGTGCCCAGCTTCATTCCCCCATCCAGGTCTGGGCTCATGGTGTTTTCCTTGCCTTGCGTGCCTGGCCATGCCAGCCACGCATCCCTGCCAAACTAAATTCCACTTTTCTCTGTCCCAAGAATCCCGCTTCCTAAGGCATTCCCAGATTGTTACAGCTCTCAGCAATTTTTCTTTCTTCATATTCCTGCAGGATTCCTCTTCTTAAATTCACCTGTACTGCCTTGAGCTTCCATCTTTTCAGGCGTGTGTTCAATGTCTCCTAATAGATAATAGGCCACTTAAGGGAAGAATCAAGTCTGTTGTCTCTTTTCATCCTCAGCATCTGGTACAATGTGCTGTCCTTAGTATTTCCTTAGTGTGTATATGTTGATGATAACTCACAGCAAGAAAATAGGCCTATCGATCTCAATTTCATCAATAGAAGTCCAAGTTAAATACCCTGTCTTTGACAATGTTCCTCTAGAGCAGGGCTTTTAAGTTAGGAGAACTAGCCACAGTGATTTTAATTGCAAGCATTACTTTTTTTCTCCAATTACCATTCAGCCTCCAACCAGCTTTGTTGTCTTTCCTTAAATTATGTTGGAAGTAGATTTGGGAAATGACAACAGATGGTTGTAAGTGGGAGTTCTTAGTCTAGACTAGAAATAGTGTTTTATTCTATCCCCCAACATTTTAGCTAAGCCACACTTAAATCTTATTCAAAAGATTACAAGAAACTCACATGAATATACAAATCAAATGATGTCACCTCTCCTCAAATCCTTTAGCATGTTTTGCATGCCCCTCTCCTCCTCTGGGTCCTCATCTCCACCCCCCATCCCCCTCACCCACCTGACTCCAGTCACAACAGCCATCTTTCAGTTCCTTGGATCGCTAAACTTCTTCCCTCATCCTGGCTTCCTGTAGTGTCACTCTTTCTGGATGGCCCGTCCTCTTTCTTTCCTTGCTCAATTCCTGCCATCCTTTGAGCCCCAGTCAACTACTCACTTCCTTACAAGATTTCTCTGATCTCCCAGAATAAGTAAAGCTTCCCTTTTGGGTTCCCATCTTCCTTTTTGTGTTCTCATCTTCGTTTTCACAATCAATTACATAGAACTATGAAATAGTTTTGTGTCTGTTATCCCCATCTGACTCTAAGCTGAGATGTCAGAGACTACACACATTTCATGCATTATGCTATTCTCAAGCCTAGAATAAAACCTGATGCACAAGAGAGGCTTGAATGAATAAATGAATGATGAAAATGTGTACAGCTGGGTCAAAGGCACAAAAAGGCAGTTTGATAGCTATGAAGTGTCTGCATGTGGAGACCTTTTAGCACACGATAATCACTAAAGTTAATGTGGTCTCCTTCCCTGAAGGCTCCAGCAACCCCACTGATGTCGATGACCTGTTTCTATGTCCTTTCAGTCTTAAATTACCCTGCTGAGTCAAACAATTGGAGAACAAATTAGCACCAACTGCAGAAGAGATTTTTCTGATACAAAATTCTGACCTGAAAAACCCCAAACGTTGAATATTTTTTGTCAGGGTGCAAACAGTTCACCAAATTTACACTGAAGAGTCAAGGGTTTCATACACCCTCACTCATATTTCCTCCACTAGTCTTGTCTTGACCAGGATGGGGACAAGATTCAACTGGCTTGTCAGTCCCTTTACGAGAATAAACCATTATTCAATTTAACAAAAGGGGAAAAGGGGAAATCTAATTCTATTGTTCTTCTCAGATCCACCTTTTCTCATTTTATCACCTTATATCCAACCAGAAAAATAACAGCATGAATAAATGTTGTTCTAAGGGTAGGTGTCAAACCCACACCTAACGCACAGCAGAAAGAAATACAATTGCATGGCACCAAGTCTTTCTCTGTAGTGACTGACCTGCATACTTTCATATTATCAGACTCATCACAGTAGGTGGCAGGAGGCTTCTGAACATAGTTATTCACCTGGAACCCTGCATCGGCCACATACTTCCTGCCTTCTGTTCCTGCCAATATTTCATTCCTGGAATCTGTTGCTGAAAATCTTTTCTTGATCGTCTCATTTTGCCTAAGGCTATGCAAGAGCTGTGGATCTCTGTGGTGGCATCTGCCTGTGCTTTCTTCATGAGTCCTCGAGGATCTCTTAATCTCATAGGATCCTCTAGGCAGAGAAAGAGGATCTTGATCCCATAGGCCTTTTCCTCCGCAGAGATTTAAAGAGCAACTCTCACATTCAGTCAGTACTTGTTGCTTTTTATCTTTGGATCCCAAATGTACCAGATCAATTCCATTAGGAGCAAAAGACCCATCCAAGTTTCCACGTGATTTGTTATTGTTTTTCCTTCTTCGTGAAAGTCGGAATTTCACTTGGGATCTTCTTTTTGCCTGAACCCAATGACTCTCGTCTATGGAAGATGAATCCGAAGAATCTGTGCAAAGCTCACTCCATCTGGGGCTTGAGATCTGGAGGTGAAAATCCTTTCTTCTCCCTTTTATTTGTTCTTCTGCATGCTCATCTCTCTCAGAGGCCCTTCTCCTCCTCCTAGGCCTTTGTTTTACTGATTTCTTACCAGACTCCTTCCTAGCAGGGCTCAGCACCACGACAGGGGTGCATTGCTCAAATGCATCTTCTGACATGTCAGGCAAGATGGCAGATCTAGACAGAGCAGCAGGCAAAGGATGGGAAATGGGAATGGACAGGAAAGCCATGGGAAAACAGAGAGAGAAAGAGAATGATGAAAATGATAGCATGGACAGAAGTTGGTAAATAAAGATCAAATGAAGAAAATGCACTAAAGGAAAAAACTGAAGCCAGTACAAATTATCCACGGACAATGTAAGGCAGAAACAAGAGCCACATAGTTGAATGTAAAACAAGAATACAAAACACTGGTCTAAAAAACATTGAGTAGAATCATTTGCTGAGCACTTACCTGCAGATGTCCTGAGTGGATGGACAGACAGACAACCTTGACTGGCTCCTGGGAGCTGTCCCTGTAGTTGGGCTGCTTGCCTGGAGAAACAAGTTAGATAATTTGGCATCTTGGTTTAGGTAATACATGGTCGATATCTTTCTTTTTTTCCACATATTTAAAAAATTACAACAAACTTGGCTGCCGGTCATGTTGATTATAACACAGCTCACAGAATGTGGGAAGTTAGAGGTTCGGTTTGCAAAAGTAAAACTTAATTTGAGGAACTTGAAACAGCTGAGATGCTGTACCACTTTGCTGTTGCTTCATTTATGAGAGAGGAAGATGATTCTACAAGTTTCTACTCTATTTACTGTAAGCATTTGAGTGGAATGGCTCAATTTGCCTTGGAATCAAATGGGTAACACTGGAATGTCCTATGATATAAAGGACATAAACTATTATATGACAAAGATGGTAATAATCTCTGAAGCCTAAATAGACTGCTAGATATTGCCTGGAGTTAACATTAAGTCACAACAAGGTCTCATGAGATAATACATTTGAAAACACTCTGTAATATTTAAAAGCCTGCAGCTATCTCTACTTCATCATTGAAACTAATAAAATCCATCCTTCACAACATTATTGACATTTTATGTATTTTAACCCTGTGACCGACCATACTGAGCCCAAGAATAAGAGAGCCTGAAATAGTTCAGATTGTTGGCACCGAGTTGAATACATTTCACGCAACTCCCACCTTGCTTCACTCCATTTGACTTCTTTAATCTGTTGCATTTAATGCAGATAATGATATATCAAAAGATAAGTGTATCCCTAGTCAGTGTGGCTCAGTTGGTGGGGTGTTGTTCTGTTCACCGAAAGGTTAGCAGTTCAATTCCCGGTCAGGGCACATGTTGGTTGTGGGCTCAACCCCTAGTGGGGGTGGTGTGCAGGAGGCAGCCGATCGGTGTTTCTCTCTCTCTCCCTCCCTCTTTCTTTCTCTCTCTCTAAAAGTCAATTAATTTTTTTTCTTATAAAAAGCGAGAGTGGGTGTTCGCAGCCACCATTGCTCTCTAAGGCCTGCGCCACCTCCAGCTTCCCGAGCTCCAGCCCAAGGAGAAGGGCGCGGGGTGGGGGGGGGGTAAGTAAACAAGTCTCTACCCATGGCTCGGACAAAGCAGACTGCCAGCCAATCCACCAGTAGTAAAGCACCAAGAAAACAACTGGCTACCAAAGTGGCTCGCAAGAGTGCGCCCTCTACTGGAGGAGTGAAGAAACCTCATCGTTAGAGGCCTGGTACCGTGGCACTTGGTGAAATGAGACGTTATCAGAAGTTCACTGAACTTCTGATTCGCCAACTTCCCTTCCAACGTCTGGTGCGAGAAATTGCCCAGGACTTCAAAACAGATCTGCGCTTCCAGAGTGCAGCTGTTGGTGCTTTGCAGGAGGCAAGTGAGGCCTATCTGGTAGGCCTTTTTGCAGACACCAACCTGTGTGCTATCCATGCCAAATGTGTAACAATTATGCCAAAAGACATCCAGGTAGCACACTGCATATGTGGAGAATGTGCTTAAGAATCCACTATGATGGGAAACATTTCATTCTTAAAAAAAAAAAAAAAAAAAATTCTCTTCTTCCTGTTATTGGTAGTTCTAAACGTCAGATATTTTTTTCCATGAGGTCAAAAGGTACCTAAGTATATGACTGCAAGTTGAAAATAGGGGGCAGAAATCAGGTATTGGAAGTTTTTCCATTTTCATTTGTGTGTGAATTTTTTAAATATAAATGAGGGGACATAAGACATTAATGCACGTCAAAATGTTTCGGTGGACAAATTTCAGTAGTTCAACTTTATAACAATATAAATAAACCTGTTAAATTTTTCTGGACAATGGCAGCATTTGGATTTTTAAAAAGCAAGTAAATTTCTTATTGATGGCAACTAAATGGTGTTTGTAGCATTTTTATCATACAGTAGATCCATCCATTCACTATACATTTCTAACTGAGTTGTTCTACATGCAAGTACATGTTTTTAATGTTGTCTGTCTTCTGTGCTGTTCCTGTAAGTTTGCTATTAAACTATATAAAAGAAAAAGCTAGAGTGTATTGAGAATTTACTGTGTGTCCTGCATTGTACTGTGTCATTTTTTGCTCTCTTTAATTTTTATAATCATCTCACAAGTGGGAAATAATAATCACTAGCAGTTTTGAGTGAATATTATGTGCCCATCACTGTTCTAAGAAATTTTCATATGCTCACTTATTAATAATCACAAGAAACGTATGTGGTGAATACTGGAATTATTTCCATGTTCTAGATGAAGAAGCTGAGACAGTGGTGCTGTTTCTTACTAGTAGGTGTTAGAGCGGAGGTTGGATGAGGAGTCTTACGCCTCCATCTGTTCCCTTCTCTGCCTCGCAGCACACTTCTCCTTTACCAAAGAGGAAACCAACGAAGCCCTAGTTCCAGATGCAGGCCGGTCAGACGGCACAGATGACATGCACGATTTTGCCACCAAGAAAATAACAGTAAAGGTAGAAAAATTAATCTCAAATTTCAAAGTTGTTCTAAAAATGCCCCATTTGAGACATTGTGAGATCCAGAGAAAGAAAAACTAATTCTAACTCAAGAGGTCAGAATAACTTGCAAGAGGAGGCATGGTAGGCTGAATAATATTCCCCCCACCCCCTACCCAAGGTGTTTACATCCAAATCCCTGGAGTTTGTGGATATATTTCCTTGCACAACAAAAGGCACTTTGCAGATATGAGTAAGTTAACGATTTTGAGATGAGGAAATTGTCCTCGATTATCTTGGTGGGTCTAACGGAAACATGAGGGACCTTACAAGATGGAGACAATAGAGTTAGAATCAGAGAGACAATGTAAGGTTGAGAGCAGAGGTCCGAGGGAAGGGAAGATGCTGCGTTTCTATTTTAAAGTTGGAGGGAGGGGTCCCTGAGCCAAAGAATGCAGGTGGATTCTAGAAGCTGGAAAAGGCTAGAATACAGACTGAACTCTATTTGACCAGCTGATTCACATAAAATGAATCCTAGCTGGTATAACTTTTGTTTGATTCATTTGTTCAGCAAACAGGAATTAAGGGTGTTCTGTATACTAGATACAAAAATGAGTTCTTGGAATAAAGAAATTGATGGCATCCCAAAGGGGCTTCTTGTTTAGTGGAGAAGAGATGTAAATGAACAGGCAATTCGAATAGTCTAGTTTTTATCCCAGTGGAGTCTGGTAATGGAATTCTGATGAAGGAAGGACACCGAATGGAGAACGGAGCAGAGATTTAAACTAAGTGCACCCGAGGAGATGACTCACGACCTCCAAGGGAGAATGTGAGTAAAGTGGGCGTGGGCAGTCCAGACAGGGAGAAGGATGTGCAAGAGCACAGAGTAGAGAGATGGTGGCTTGTTTCGGGAATGCAGACATTATGTAATGACTGCAGGGAAGGTAATGAATGAAATATGAAGTAATACAAAGTCAGGATAGATGAGTAGACAGGAGTACTATATGCCACATTAAAATGGGTTGTATCTGCAAACAAATGGAAAGTCATTGACAGATATTCAGCAGCAAATAGAAATGATTAAGTCTGGGTGCTACAAAGCTCACTTTGACAACTGAGAATTGAAAGATACAGAACTGACCATTACAAGGAGAAGAATCAGAATTCAATATATCCAGTGTACAGCATGGATTGAGGAAAGTGATAGTTTAAGCAATACAACTCCAACTAGTTGTTTTATTTTAAAATAGGATAAAAATTGCCCTGGCTGGTTTTGCTCAGTGGTTAGAGCGTCGGCCAGCATACCAGAGAGTCCTGGGTTCGGTTCCCACTAGGGGCACATACCTCCGTTGCAGTTTGTCCCTGGCCCCAGTTGGGGTTGTACAGGTGACAACCAGTCAATGCGTCTCTCTCACATCGATGTTTCTCTCTCTCTCTCTTCCTCCCTCTCTCCCTCCTGCTAAAAAAAAAAATGTATGATAAAATTATTTGAAAGATCAGCTGAGAAAAGTAATATGGGGAAACATCTAGGAAAATTCTTTAATACAAGCTAAGTGGGATCAAGGGTTAGAGTACTTTTAGCAGATATCAAAACAGTATGGCTTCAGAAATTAGAAGAATATGTGGGTGGCGTAGGAAAAGACACATCATTAGAATAGAAATCTATCAATCTTTACCTTATTACATAATACAGCTGCATTTAAATCGGTGGGAAATGGCTAGGTTATTAAATAAACAGCATGGGGAAAATGAGTAGTCGTTTGGGAAAATCTAAAGCTGGATGCCTTTTATACTGCCTACACTAAAGTTTAGGTGGATGAGAGACTTAACTATAGAAAAATAAAACCATAAAAGTATGTGAAGAACACATAACTGAATAGATTTATAATATTTTGGAAGAGAGCCCTTTTATTAGCATGACATGAAACAAACAACAATTTAACATAGGAAAAGACAAATAAGCCTCATATTTAGAAAAATAACTTTTAATTTATAAAAAAGAAACACATACATTCACACACCAACACTACCCCTGCAAAAAATTCAAAGCCATAGATAATGCAAGTATGATGGCTAAACAGCTACTTTCTCTAGGGTCTTCTACAAATCAAGGAAGAAAAGTTGATTGATCTTTGAGAAAAATGAGTAAAACACCCAAACAGTTCACAGAGAAGGAATTATGTGTGGCCAAAAGCCACATGTAAGAAAGATGCTCAATTTCAATAAGCAAACAAATACAAATTCAGTTAACAATGGTATTAACTTTCATTTATCAGATCAGCACATTTAAAAAAAATTGGTAACACCCAGTGTCCTGAGGTAGGAGAAACCAAGCATTGCCATCAATTGTTGAAGTATGTCATTGTAAATTGGCACAACTTATTGAGGGGCAATTTGGTAAACTCTATTAAAACAGAAAATGTCTATGCTATTCAAGTCAGAAATTCTAATCATAGGAATCAATTTTGCTAACACACTTGCACAATTGCCCAAAGATATTTTCATGATAATAAGAATGTTCATTAAAGCATTGTTTGTAACAGCCAGAAATTGGAAACAAGGCAAATGTTTAGTAATTTACAATGAAACACAAAAGCCATTAAAAGGAATGAGATACACTGCACACATGCACACATGCACACACAATCTCACACACACATTTGTAGGATATATTTTTATGTGAAAAGTCAAGTTTCAAAATCGTGTCTAGTATGA